GTATAATCAACTAGTAATTCTGTCTTGCTTCAATGTTCATGCAACCACACGCTGCCTCTTTCTTGTAAGCGACAGATAAGATCCAAATGTGAATCTCTCAACCTAACCCCTAATAAAAGCCCCTCGTTAGCTGAAGAAGGGAGGTCCTTTCACTAAACGGCAAACATTGACCTGAATAAATTGAGTTTATTTTTTATCTTAAACTTTTGATATCAATAAATCATATTAAATTTTAATTAATTTAATTAATGATTTAAATAATTTAATAGTTATTTTTTTTCATGAAAAATAAAAAATCTTGAATTTGAATCGTATAACATATAAATGAAGTGTGATAAGTGATGAAAAATATTACCTTCTATCATGTAACCAAATTAAAAAAAAAAATCAATTAATTTAAAATTAACTCATATCAAATTTTACAAAAAGAAGTTTTTATAACATTCTGTATTTTTATTTATAAAACTAAAACTTAACATATTATTTAAAAAAATTAAGTTTTTTCTATACAAATTAATAAGTAATTGATAAATTCACTTTATAAAGTCAAGTCCAATCATCTAAATCAAGTACTAAAATTTAAGTAATTTACTTTTCATTGAATTGACATAAATGCCCTTTACCCCTTAATGCATTCTTACTTGAAGCCATGTGAACTTGAAATCAATATGGATCATGAAAATCTCATACATTTATAGCTTGTTGTTCTTTTGTTCTTTTGGATTTTTATTATTTTTGTCTCTCTATACAAATAATTGAGAATTAAGATCTAAAACCTTGAATTTGAGTTATACCACACGTTATCTCTTACTACTATTATTAAGCATATCACATTTAATAATATCAAATTTAAAAGAAGTACAGAAAAGGAGAAAAAAAAAATCTCTTATAATGAAGAAAATTGACAAGTAAGTAAATGTCTTACTATTAATGGCACAAGATACTAGATACTTTGTTAAATACTGCTGCATTATGGGGATATTCCGATTAATTAGCCACTAATGAAACCCTTAATCCGGGTTAACAAAGTCTAATACAATGGTCAATGTAATGACGCTTCTAACATGCTAACCAAATGCTACTTCATTGCGTAGTTGTAAAAGGTGTCTTGCCATTCATTTTATTCTTGCAATTAACTTTTTTTAAAAAGAAAATCTCATGAATAATTTTTTTTTGTTTTTTTTATAAAAATAATAATTAATAATTAAATTAAAAAATATTAATAATTAAAATTTTAATTTCAGAACAAGTGATTTCCCACTTTCTTATTATTGAGGTGCCTGGCCCATCGGGGAGTTCCTTTGTTTATTTTTAGTTTATTTGTATAAAGCAATCTTTGCCGTACTAAACAAGTGTTTCACATCCTATTTAACCAAAGGACAAAAGATGAATAAGGGGAGATTTTTGTGACTTTGACTTTTTATTATTTGGAAAATGATATTTTTATATAATTTTATATTTTACTTAATAATTAATTTTTTTATTTAACTAAAATATGTAATATTATAATATATATTTATCTAAAGATACATAAAAATTATATAAAAAAATTTATATTCTTATTGTTATCCTTCTCTATTTGATAAAAAAGATGAATATTTTGCTAGCATGCCTGAGATAGAGAGGGGATGTTTTGTTTGGTACTAGCCTTGTCTTCTTTTTTTTTTTTTTCATTTTCAAACTCTACATCTCTCCAATTATTATTTTTTTTTAGCACAATCTTAAAGATCAATCCTTTAAAAACCCAACTCTAAAAAATCAGGGCAAACCCAAAGATGCGTCTCTGTTTATCTTCCTTTATCAAACTCTTGTTCAAAGCTTCTACTCGTTCTTCTTATTCTTTCCTGTCATGGACTCATGCTTTTTAGAGGCTGTTTAGGTTGGTCCTGTCTCCCATATGGATTTTAGAGGTCTGGGTTTGGAGGGTCTGGTGGGTCCTGAAAATGGAGCTCCGTCTCAGGCCTCACTGCCGGAGACCAAACCTATGGTGCTCGGATCTGGGTTTGTTAAGCAAGAGAGATCTTCAGAGTCTGGTGAAGATCACCTGAGGAGTTCAAAAGTGCCCAGAACTGATGATTTCTCTGCTCCAAAGACAATGACATTGCAGCAGGGTACTTCTTTGTTGAGATCTAATTCAGGGGTCTCTGGAGATACTCGCCCACAAGAGAATATGTTGAGCTTTTCTGCTGTCAAATCAGAGGTAACTTTTGTCAACAAAGATGGGGGGTTGGGAGAGAGGAGCACACAGGATAGTGCTGGATTTGCTTACTATCAACAAATACCCGCTGCTTATTCTAGAAGTGCAGGTATACCTTAATCTTTCGTTGCCTTTGATTTAGAGTTTTCATCTTTCTAAGAAATGGGTAGTTTGGATTTTTGTTGGATATCCCAAAAAAGGGATATCTCATTTTATGAGATGGGTTTTGGGGAATGTGAGTACAGTTTGAAGATTTAGGCACATTCTTGTGCAGATATTTTTGTTGCTTTTTTTTGGGTGGGAGCTCTTCAATCTTGTTGCTTGTATAATGTAGATTTGTCAAGAAGAAGAAGTCTTGTGTTTTCTTCTCTTATAGACTTGGTATTTTCTCTTTGGTTTTGGCAAAACATTCCATGCTTTAGAAATGGAAGGGGGGTAAAGGGTATGAGAGGATTGGAAAGATTCAACAGTCTTGCAGATAAGACTGGTTTGGCTTTCTCTCTAGTATTTTATCCTCTTTATTGTTTCTATCTGTTTTTACCTTGAAAAAATTAGAGAAATTGATATATGATAACATTTTGCTGCTTCCTACATATTCCAGACAGATCATCCCCTATGCTTCATGTTTCAGGTTATGGTTCTGGAAGCTTGAATGCAAGCATGCACGGGTTTTCTGAGGTTAGAGGACCATTTACTCCATCTCAGTGGATTGAACTAGAACACCAAGCATTGATCTACAAGTACATAACTTCCAATGTACCTGTACCATCCAATTTGCTAATCCCCCTAAAGAAGTCTCTCTACCCCTATGGCCTATCCAGCGCATCTGTTGGATCCTTGCCTCCCAATTCATGTAAGTTTTCTTCTTCTAAGACATGGATTAGTGCTCATTTCATATTCTCTTACTTTGTGGTGCTGAGTTTTGTGTGAAAATATACTGAGAAAAAAAAAAAAAATCTTTTAGACATTTGCTGCTGGCAGGTGGTATCCGTTTGTGGTTGAGTAATTTTTTTGAACCCCATGTGTGAATACTGTGTTACTTTGCTTCTGGTAGCTAGAGTTTTCAATTTGTAGCTATCTTGCTGTTTTTGCAGTGATCTTAAACTTTTCGGTTTATCTTTGGTTGAAACCTTTTTCAATACCAGGATATGCACAAAATTTAAAGTAATTTTGGCTAAAAAGTAATAATTGGTTGGATGTTAATTTCTCTCCTGTTCCCTTTTTCTTTTGGATGGCTTCTTTTTGTTGTTGATAGTTGAGTCTGTTTTTGCTCAAAAAATTTACAGTGGGATGGGGAACTTTCCATCTGGGCTACTCGGGCAGCACCGACCCTGAGCCAGGGAGGTGTCGTCGAACTGATGGAAAGAAATGGCGGTGCTCTAGGGATGCTGTTGCCGATCAGAAGTACTGTGAAAGGCACATAAACAGGGGCCGCCATCGTTCAAGAAAGCCTGTGGAAAGCCAAACTGGCCATGCCGCCTCTGGGACCACTAATACCAAGGTGGTGCCAATAACTTCATCCATGTCACCATTGGTGATAACCAGTGCTGGTGCATCCAACAGCCTTGCAATTGCACAGCACCAGTTCAAGAACTTACAGTCAGGTGCTGCCAATCAAACAACTGCAGATGCACTAATCAACAGGTAAAGAACATACCTTCTCTGAGCTCCCTTTATTTTTTTACCTCTTATCATCCCTATAGTGATATTTAGTGTGATATAGCTTTAAAAGACTTGCATGCCTATAAGTTGATAAGTTCTCTTCCTTTTACTTTACTTTAAAGTAGATCTCATAATTTCATCTTACTTTTGTAACAGTGACAAGGCCTAGTAGTTGAGACTCAGGGTTCCATTTCTAGGACTAGGAGTGTTTACCAAGTCTATTGTTATGTTGCTAGGCACTTTAATTTGATATTCCAGGTCTTCCATAAGCCATAAATCGTCCTCTGCTGGCTTGGAGTTCTGTTTTTCTCCCTTGTGGATATTCTCTGAATCTGAATTATGTTCTCTATGGTTTCTTTTTTGATATTTCTACCATTTCTTAAGCCCTTTCTTAACAAGGAATGTGTTGCAGAGTGCAAGATCCACGGGGGCTATCCATGATGTCTACCACCAACTTGAAACCTGTTGACTCTACTTTCACCATTACAAAACAAGGTATCACGTATTCGGAGCCCTCCCAATTGGATTTTGGACATGTTGCTTCTGATTCTCTTGTTAATCCTTCCCATAGAAGGTCTTATGTGAATTCCAAAGAGTATGGTTCTTTCCCAGACTTCAAAGATCAAGAAACCCAAGACCAAAATCCACTTCACCAGTTCATTGATGACTGGCCTAAGCACCGATCTAGTCGTTCTATCATTACCTGGCCAGAAGAACTTAAATCAGATTGGACCCAGTTGTCAATGTCTATCCCAATGGCCTCTTCAGAGTTCTCATCTTCATCTTCCTCACCCACACAGGAGAAACTTGCCCTGTCACCACTAAAATTGTCTTGTGAATATGATCTGATCCACATGGGTCTAGGGGTGAACACTGACCTCAGTGAACCAACCCAAAAACAAGCCAACTGGATACCAATCTCTTGGGGAACTTCAATGGGTGGTCCTTTAGGAGAGGTCCTAGCCAACAGGTCCAACACCACTAGCAATGTCAGTACCTGCAAGAACACATCAGCACTTAACCTCTTACCTGAAGCCTGGGATGGCAGCCCACAGTTGGGATCTTCCCCTGCAGGTGTCTTGCACAAGTCAACCTTTGCTTCACTTTCAAATAGCAGTTCAGGGAGCAGTCCCATAGCCGAGAGTAAGATAACTCATGACTGCACTACCCTTTGTGATGATATGCTCGGCTCCTCTCTTTTAAGTTCTGTCTCCATTCCATCCATAATCTGAAGCTAGTAACTCCCGCAACAAAAGAAGAAACTCTGGAATTGGTGGTGTTGTACTATGTTCTATGAGAGACATAAGTATATTTGTGTTTTCCAGATTGATTTGTTTCTTCCTTGTTTGTTTTAACTAATGGTTCTCTAATATTTACAATGAAGACTTGGCTGAATCCAATTAATAGGTACTGGCCATACCGGTTCATGTTGATCGTTAGCTATCAATATTAGTTTGTGAATTTGAGTAATTTATGATCCAATCAAACTTCTTGTCGTTCCTTGGTGAATTGTAGCGTATGCACATTCTCGGATCATTACCAGGACAGGAGTTAAATATCGAGGATGTGAAGTTACGAACATGCCTCAGAAAGAGCGGGGACAAACATGACGTCGTGGGGATAGCTTCCAAACTACTTAAATTGCATATCAATATCTGACAGTACGTTAGGCCATTCTAGTGACAGCTCCCTCTCCCCACATCCTTTTTACATATGGGTAGATTGATACCATAATTGAAAATCACTGTAGAAGATAGGGATGGAATTTCCTTGACTCCAGGCAGGAGGCAACCTTGCCTCCTGCCTGCCTGGCAGATGCCGCGGCCTGCCAATCCCCCACCTAGTCCGTGGCCCATTGGCTCATACCGTTCAAGCTACATTTGTTATGGTACCACAGTATAGTTATAATTGAACCCCTCAAATATCTCACTTATCTAACGAATCTGTTTTGCTTGAATAAAAGAATCCAACACCAGAAACAATAATTGTACTGAGTATAGGTACCTTTTTCAGTAAAATCTTGTTTTACACAGTGTTAGCCATGTGAAGAGGTTAGGTAAAGTTTTTTGGTAAGGAATGTCGAGAAACCCCGCCCCCCCCCAAATATGTTCGTTTATTACAAGTGGAAGGAAAACCTCAGAATTGATTCAAAACAACTTGACTTTTTTTTGTCACCACTCAACAGCCACAAATTGTATGGGATGTTTCAAGATATCAGGAAGAGGGGGTTTGATTGATTTTTGTGGGTTCGATTAAGAGGGATGCTTATATCTGAAAAATGCACTAATTTTGGTTTCCATAACTGAAAATTTTGCAAGTTCTTGGGATTATAGCAAACAAGATTTCTGAATTCACACCCCTGACTGCAGATAAAACTGAAGTTTTCCTGGATTACATTTGATGGTGCCACCTCAAAGGCGTGGGAGATAGCAGGAGTCAGGTCTCATATTTTTACTCGGTAGTGAAATCCTAGAGAAAGCAACTACTCGAGAATTGCAGGCTCTCTGGAAACTGAAGCCATCTTCCAGTGCCTGAATGTCTCCAGTTACTGCTATAAAGAAGTTTACTGACACAATTTTAGAATTCTCCTTCATTTTTTTTTTTGTTTTTGCCCTGTGAATTTTCTCAATTTTCAATGCAGGAAAATTAGTGTAGGTACTTGAATTCTCAACTGATGTGTGCAAATTTGAGCTTGTCGAAATCAGAATCTGTGCACTCGAAAAAAAAAAAAAAAAAACCGTGTTAAAGCACACATCAAATGTGCCTTCGGACGTTTGAGAAAAGATTTCAAAAGTTTATTTGATTGATGGGAAATTTTTCGTGTCTAATCAAACTCGGCATCTTAATTTGATTAGAAGAAATAATTTTTCCTCATTTATTTATTTCAAATTAAAATACACTCTTAAAATTTTAGACATTTAGGCTGAGAATTATCAAAATTTTTTTTTTTAATTATTAGTATTGAAACAGAACAAACAGTAGCTTATGGGAAATTCAATTCCCATCATGTCTGCAAAGGAAATGTACTGAGAATTACCTTTGAGAGTGTGTGACTAGCGCTTTTTATAGGATCCTGCAAGAGATGCGTCAGAGAGGTATATGTATGTATGAGTCCAGTGCGACGATGCTGCTGGTGGCATCGTAATGATTGTTTCAAAGAGATTCCAATTTGCACGTCTGATACCCTTGTGTTGACCATTTCCATTGTGTAGTGTCACGCGGGAAAGTTATGGAGGCTTTAAGGAAAGGTCTTTGCAATTTTTAGATGGGGCAAAAGCGGTTTTTTCCTCCTCCTTTAATGTCTCGAGTTGCTAACATATTTTTCTTTTCTTTTCTTTTTTTTTTTTTTTTTCATGTTCAAAATTCAAATTGTACATGTCTCTCATTATTTTAAAT